CTAAGAAAACCAAAACAAAGACAATCACCAAATCTTCCGATTCCGGCAGTGAAGATGCTCAACGAAAGCGTTTGATTACACCTACCTCAACTGTAATGCACAGATACATGCAGCCAACACTGGCGCACAGCCTACGATATGGAAATACACAAACCACACAGATGTTAACCGACATAGCCACACCGTTGACAGCAAGATCACCTGTACCACCGTCGACGCAACCAAAAGGTAAGCAGTATACAACTACTACAACTACTACTAATACTGATGCACCAAGACGCTATGTACGCAACCTATCCAAAGAAGAGAAAGTATTCAATTTTAAAAGTAGTTTGACGAATTTAAAGAAAGACTCACTATCTAATAGTAAGGAATCGATAAAAAGCACTGAAAAACTGTATCATAGAAAAACTAATGTAGAGAAAACTAAAACTAAAGCTGTGATAGCACATAGCGAACAAATAACTGTAAAAGAAATGCCTCCCAAAACAAGTAAGGAAATGAGTAATGTATTGAATAAGACAAATCAAAGTAAATTAAAGCACAAAATTGACAGAGCAAAGGAAGCGACAACCGCAAGAACACCCAGGAGTGTTACTCGGGACAGCTCAGAAGAGAAAAAGCTTATAAACCGCACTGAGAAAACACAACAGCGATCGAAAGTTCCCATCAGCGTATCTTCCAATGTAGGTACTAGAAAAAAAGTTAATACCACTAGAAGTGATAGTAAAATAACGGATGTTAAAACTCGCAAAGACAATAAGGATATGACAGCTACTGTTACAACTAAAACTGAACAAACGAAGCGAAGAACTACACAAACCAAGAAGAGTGATGTAAAAGTACAAAAGAAGTTGAAGGATTCACTAAATGAGTCCAGCATGACTGGTAGTGGCAATACCAGTGCCAGCGGCTCGCTCAGTAGCGTACGAAGATATACACGCGCCACTACAAATATAAAGAAATTGGATAAAGAAGTGGCAAATTTGAGATTAGCAGATAAGTCTGCAACTACCACCTCTACAGGACACCACAATTCCATAGTGACTACATCGAAAATTTCCAAAATACCAGCCGTACCCGCTCGCACCACAGTGGTTAAAGTTCACCAAGAGCCTGTTGCGACCACTGCCATTGTCAGCACAGTTATATTTGATGATGATGCAGAAATTACACGGTCTTTTAGATCCACAGAGAGTACAAAAAGTTCTACCTCATCTTCTGGCAGCAGAAAAGTGTTAACAAGTGAAGTTTTTACTAAGACATTTGGGCAGGATAAACCATTCGAAGTGATTTATCGTCAACCGGACACTGATATGGATACAACATCGATAATACGCCCACCATCAACAGATCAACGCTGTGCTAATGAGTTTGATGTTAGTTTCATTGATACAACCGATTCCAGTTTGTCCGATTCAGTTGCATTGCCAATGTTTACTACGGAACAGGATCGTCTATTGGCCGCCAGTCCGGGTTCACCGAAACCAACACGTAGCCCCTTAGCTTTGATAGAGGAAACATTGCGTCGGCAACAAGCTGCCGGCTATGCTATGGATCCAGCACTGCAGATGCAATTCGGTGCCTCGGGCATACGAATGGGTAGTATTAGTCCGACATCATCGAGAAATTCGAGATCGGAGCAGATTGAAACGCCAAAAGGTAAATGCAAACCAATTTTTTCTCTACTTTCTTAGTTGTTTTAGTATTGTTATTTCTGCGCATAAGTTTATTTAGCTTAATAATTAAGATACTCTACGAATATACTAGCATTACATAAATAATCAACCATACACACTGTTTTTTATTAGCATTATATGATGGAGAATAGTTTCATATACAAGTATGAACATAAATATGTCTACGTTTGTAAATAATTGTCATATAATGAACATTTTAGCAAATTTTATAGTAGTTTATTCGTTTCATAAAACTGCAACAAAGTTTTTTAATAAAATATTTCAAAACAATAAAAGTTTTAATGAATATGTTGGATATCTAACTATTTTAGAGTACATAAACATAAATAAATAGGTGCATACCCACATTAGATCGCGCGTCTCTCTTTTTAAATAAACTTCATTGAAGAATGTTTTAATCGTAGTACTAAACAATTTAAAATACTTTCATGAAAATAAATATGTGTATAATTTTATAGAATATATTATACATAAACACATATGAACATACATACATACGTACGAATTTTAGCCGTAGCTATATTAACATCGAACTCGATAGTTCAACTTCAAATAAAATTAATAACTCCATTCTTTTGCAACCTACACTTGCGATCAGCTAATTAAGCCAGCAATGTTTTGATCCGTTTTTAACCGACAGGTTTAGATCCGATCACTGGATCATGAAGAAATTAACGATACTCTTAAATTTTTATATGAGCTTTGAAGTCGGTGTTTTTTTTTTTTTGCTTAAAAATTACTTTTTTCTATTTTTCTTTTGTTTATTTAATATTATAATATTTATTTTTTTTCATAAAAGCCTAACTTATCAAATAAACCCACATTTCAAACTTTGTGTAAAAATTTTTAAGAATCTGCAAAGTTACGTCTGAAATTTTCAACTTCGTAAAAATTTTTGAATTTACTTTTTATGTAAAAAAAGAGTAGTATGTACAGTCAGAAAACAAATTATTAAAAATAAACGCGATTTATTATTTAGCAGCCTACAACTTGCACTTTATTATACTAGAAGTTAATGGGCTATTAAACATCACGACCCTGAAAAAAAAAGAATAAAACTAGATGAAACTTTGCAGAATTTTTATAACTTTTGCATAAAGTTTAAAAAGTGGATTTATATGATGTTTGTTATATAATGAGTTAGACTTTAATGGAAAAATTAATGCTTATATTAAAATTTACCGTTAGTTTAGTCATGATCCAACTAACTCAAATTAGTATGGAACCCCCCCGGTGGTGTCACTATTTTGATAAAAATTAAGAGTTACCGTAAAGTTTTTTTGGTCGGTTAAATTGTCAAAAAATCGACTACGAAATGAAAAGTGGCAATACAATTTGAGCAATTTACCTTAGTCGATATCAAAGTTAAATTAAATTTTAGATAGTTATTAAAACCTTATTATCTTATTTTATATTTCGAAATAGGTACCTTGTCAGTCGTCCCCAAAGTAAATTGGACGAGGGATGGTTTCACCTCGTCATCCTCCAAATAAAAACGGCACTTTTATTTCTAATCTCAATGACTATAACTAAATAAAACATCGCATCTAGCTCAGTACATCTACTTAGGGGTAGATCCATGGATGCGGCGATTCACTCTTTGGTCTCAATGATTTGGAGATGGGACCACTTGAAATTAAGGAATATACTATATCGGCTTTTAAACCAGGGAAC